CGGGAGGAGTAACGTGAAACAGGCTTACAGGACACCAGCACCAGTCCGGCAGGGAGACCTCAAGGGGACAGGGACAAGGTGGCAAGACATAAAGGCCAGGCAAATATGGAAGAGCAAAAGACAGGATCAAAGATGTCTCTGCCTCTCCAATTTGTTATATGTCTGCCAAGGAGAAAAGACAAAAGCAGGAAACATGAGAAGAAAAAGGGGACCAGAAATCCACCATGGCTGTGGGCAGTTTGAGTTGTTGGTAACTCATTCAGGAAGAATGCCAGAGGAGCTGAGAAAAATGCTGGTCTAGAGAGATGGTGGCAAGCTAGGAGGAAGGCAGAGGTCTGAGACATGGAGAGGAGATGGCAGTAAAAGCTGTGTAACTTGATGTGTGCGCCCAGATGGGGGACACAGCTGAGCTGAATAGGGGATTCCCAAGGAGGAAGAGACACAACAGAGTGGCTGTGAGAAAGTGACAATAAAGAGCTGGAAATAACTGTGCTGTGAAGCCCCAGTCAAGAAAAAAGTACCAAGTGGCAAAGATTAAGTTACCAGATCTAAACCAGGAAATTAAGATGAACATCAAGGCCCTAACAGACAATAAGACCTTGCCAGAAGGCAGCTGCTGAGACAGAGAGGAAGGACAGGACGGGCACTGGAAGTTAAAGTGAAAGAGAAATAGGGTTTAATAAACCATACATGCCAGCAGCCAAGGCCAGGCTTACTGCTGGCTTTGCCAGCAGCTGTAAGGTCACAGGCAGCCTTGTTGGAAGAGTGTAGTGGCAACACAAGCTTCATGCTGGGTGCTTGCCTGACTCTTGCCCAGAGATCAGTAGCCAGGACAACTGCAGCCTATGACGGTGTTTGGAGGTGTTTGTGCTACTCTCAGCAGTCATGCTGCACAAAGCCCCACAATAAGCACACTGGGGAGCACCATGCTACATTTACTGCGAGATCAAAGGGTGGCTGTGCTTTGTCATCACACTTGTCAACCAAAATATCATTATCATTACCAGGCTAACTCTAATCAGCCTCTGCTGAAGAGCCAGCTGATCATCCAATAACATTAAAAATCTGTTGCTAGAGCATGCCAGCATCTGGCTAATGTGGACCCCTGTGTCATCTGAAGAGGAGTCTCACGGAGGAGACTCCTAGTGTGCCACCAGCCATGCTCCACTCCACTGGTGTTCCTGGCATGCTCAAGTCATTGGCAGCAATTTGCCTTTCTGCATGATGCTGGCAGACAAGGCTGGATGGAAAGGGAGAACAGAGGTGCCTCTTGGACATTTTGGCCAAGATGTTTTGTTAGTGGAACAGAGCTGGGATGTTTATTCTTATCCTTGACTATTTCAAGAAACTTTTTTTAATGCTTGCTATGATATCATGGCACTTACAGATCCTGTTGGGGATGTGCTCACAGCAATGTGACAACAAAAAAGCAAGGCCTGGCCTGGAGAATTTGCAACATGACTGAGATTAGAGACAACAGATAGATACCAATGGCCAACAGATGGAACAGCAGAAGAACAGGACGTCTAGGATCAGCATTGCAGCCTGGGTGGGAGGGAGTACTTTTGGTTGGTGCTTTAGCTCAGGCTGCTCTCATTAGTGATAACAGAGTGCATTCAGAGTGAAAGCCAAACCCTAGCAATGACACCAGAAGGTCCACAAGTGATAACTCCCCTTCTTTTAAAGATGAAGCAGGATAGTATGACATGTTTGCCTTAGACATGGTCTGGAAGGTACAGCAAATGCACTGAACAGTAATTGCAAACTTGCTGCTATATTTGTGCCTGGAGGCAAGTGTGTAAAATGTTTTTTGCCTTCCAAAGCACTGACAACTGCAGCTGTTGTGGACTTCAATGGAAGATACAGCTCATCCGCAATCATTTCACACAGCATTTGTGTTAGAATTGCCCAAGGTGGGGTTCAGATGGGAGGCTTAAGATACCTGTCATTGCAGCATAGGTTTCCAGTGGAGGCAAAGCAGGGAGAAGGACAGGATAACCCAAAGGAGATGTTAGAGAAAGAGGAGCAATAGGAAGAGCTGCAGATGAGAGGTCTGACAACAGAAACAGCATAATAGGTAAGCTCTGCAGTAACTGCAACAACACAAGCTGATAGAGCAGATGGTCACCTCAGTTTAGCCTTTAACATAGCTTGTCGTCCCTAGCAATATTTACCCAAAAGTACTCTACTGATGGAGATGGGATTATGTAACAGACAGAGGGAAATCAGTCCTATTTTATACAAGATAGAATCAGGCTGCTTATCAGCTCTGACAGTCCCTTCATGTACTTACTGGCTTTAACTTGGGCAGAAAGAGCAATGTGATAATTTCTTTCCACCTTCAGATGGTGGAAACCAGGTAGCACTTTTCCAGTTTCCCAACTTTCTTGGAACTCTATTAACTCACTCCTCAAATCTGGAAGTGTTAAACTACCTGTCCCAGGACTGAAATGACCATCTGGGAACTGTCAGGACATTTTCATCAGCTCCATCAGTGCTGTGTCAGGATATTTTCATCAGCTCCTGGTCAATGCTGTTTGGGGTTAATTCTGACCTACTTCAGTAATTCTTCAGAATTAAGAATTATTTCACTAGTTTGTGAAAAGCATTTAAAAGATCCTTCAGTGAACAGTGCAAAATAGAGGCAAACACTGTTATTCTCATTTCCAAAATACTAGATACAGAACCACACTGAAACAGCAATATAGATATCCTGCAAAGGGGATTAACCACAATGGAAAGTGAAATTCCACACTGAGAAGTGTCCCATATTTGAAAGATCTACAAGCATATGCATATCTCAGCTCAGACATTTAATAAATATTGTCCCAACTGCATGTTTACGTATTTTTATTAAAGAGCAAATTGCTTGTATTTCCTCCTCTTTCTTCTGCATTATAGCATTAAAGCAGAACAGCATGCCACACAACAGTATAAACAAACAGCATCACCAGATACTTAAGGGTCTTTAGCTCCTAAATTGACTAAAGCATAAATACAAACTGACGTCAAGCACTTGGGATTACCATTTAAAAATTGGTATTTTCTGAGACACTAATGAAGGACATTCATATCAGAAAATCCACTGGCTGCAAAATGAGAAGTCAGCCATCCGGAGTAAAATGCGTTCCTGAGTAGGCGTTTGTACTTATTCAGGTGCTGAAGTGGTATAGGCAAATGGCAGCACACTCCGAGGACCAAGGTATTCTGCTTCTCAGCATGATTAACTTAGCAGGACGGAGCACAGCGCTGTATGGCTTTTAGAACCTATCCCAGCTTAATGAGCATTACCTTGCATATCCCTAGGTGATGTATTTTGCCACAAAGTTGTAAGTTGGGAATTGCCTAAAGAGAAAGAGGAATAGGGATTTAAAACATTCCTTCTACTTCAGACTAAGCTCAAGCAATCGTATCTTTGAGGCAAGCAGACAACATATGAGTTGTTGCAGGTAGTGAAGATCTCAGTGGGAAAGCACAACTGTGTATTTGAAGAAGTGGTGCCATTGGACACAAAATAACCAGTGCATCCCCAGCCCCTCCCTAGGACTTCTATCAAAACAGCCCTTTTTCCTTTGGCATCTGTGCTAGCTGCCCAGGGCCAATAGTAGAGCAGGTACTGGGGGCACCACCTGCTTCTGTAACTTCACTCTTGTTCACAGAGCAGTGAAACAAGTAGCCAAACCCTTGATGGAGCAAATCTTTGCCATCCTAGAGGTAAGCCATTCCACATGGTACAGATTCACTGTCAGGCCTGTGGGAGACTTGCTAGTGATGAGCCAGAAGACCAGAGCCTTGCAGCTCTTAAAATCAATGTTCCTCCGCCCACTTCTCACTCCCAAGTGGAGACAGACCTGTGTTAGCCTAAAACCTTGAGTGGTGCCAAGACTCTCCCAGTAGCAGCAGAGCTTGCTTTGTTCCCTGGGGCAGGAGGTGAAAGGAAGAGAAAGTCCCTTCCCCAGTGGCTGGCTCAGGACACTGCAAGGGGCATAAGGGAAGACAGATTCAAGTGAAGGCCATTTGCCAAAGAAGGACAACACTCATCCGTTCTCACCAGCTCTGTGATCTGACCTGGACATTAGGTGCCAAAGCAGCTGAGTGAGGTGACACATATTACTAAGAGCTTCCAGTTTAGCAAGGAGCTGCACCAGAAGAGAAATTTCCTTCTACAATAGGGGATGGACCAGAGGGATTTGGTAGCTGCTGATGTGCTGGAAGGAAGGGGAAGAGAATAGTCTCCCCTTCAGGTGGTTCAGCTGCAGTTTGCAGGCAGAAGGACTGGAGGAAAAGAACTCAGGTCTGCAAGCCTCCCCCTTGAATACAGGGCATATTGCATATATTCAGGGCCTAGGATAAACTAAAATAGAAAAACATTTGGTTTCAGTTCACATCTTAGTGGTGGCTCATGTTTTATTTACAGAAAGGGCAGAAGTTTCCGTGAGCAAAGAAATCCCCTTTCTTTCTGTGCAGGTTTTAGAAAACCAGTCAGCAGCAGAGCAATGCTACTGAACACAAGACTTCAGTCACCTGCCTCCTAATTCTCAAAACAGCTAAAGCCCTGCAGTCTTTTTTACCTTTTATAGTCACAGGAGTAGTCATGCAAACCCTTGATTGGATTATTCTGCTTTAATTACAAAATGCGCTCAGACCAAAGGCGAAATAGTACCTGGTACATATGTACACATTTCTCTCAATTATAACACCAAAGACCAAAATGCCATCTGGTCCTGCTGTAAATCAAACATTTCCCTCTGGCAAGACATTTGGAGTATGAATAGACATCACAGTAATGCTTGAACTGCCTCTTGTGTGCAGGACACCAGACTCTGTGTTTATTTATCATGTACTTTGAGATCCTTTAGGGTGGACCATACAAGAGATAAGCAAGAGAACAGACACGAAACTGGAACCTTGGGGTAATTGGAGTCCATATCCCACCACCCCCTGGAAAAGAAAAGCAGAGATGGGTCACTCTCCCCTTGCTGCAGTTAGGACAAGGTAGATAAATCACAAGGTTTTTTTATTGCTGGTGAACTCAAAACAGGCAACTTTAATCTACTGAGGAAGATACACATACAACAAATGTTAGGCCTTGTGCGTTTTTTTCTTCTTAATGTAAATGTCTCTTCAACTTCAGTCCAGCTCCGAAGCTCTCACTGAGCTGCCACCAAGATCCTGGTAACGTGCTCTGGGCACTTCTGCAAGATGTTGTAAGAAGCATCACATGTATTAAAAAGGGAGATTTTGCAGAAAAGACATAGCTCTGACTGCAGCCATGTTGCTCAGAACGGAGAAGTCTGGGTAATCCTGCTGCATTAGGTATGTGGTACTATATATAATTAATTGATTTAAGAATTTGCCGGGTCCTTTTCTGTTTCTGGTGTGCAAGCTGCAAGTAAAGTGCACTTCTGGGTATAAATCACCACTCTATAAAGATGCAATAGCTGGGTGGTACACGTCAGACATCAGTGGAAAGCAGACAAAACAGTTGTTACAATGACACAGGCAAGAAGGATAACACACTAAATACTAAATGCTGCTGGGAAACCCCTCCGTAGTTTGAGCATCTAAATATTACCCCACTGAGCAAAACCAGTGTCATTTATTTGGAACCTCCTAAAGAACAGACAATAACACACACATAGCTGTTATTGTGTACCAGGTTAGCTCTGTGGACAGCCACTCCTCCAAACCACATTGCTAACTCCTTTTAACCTTCCTAAAAAGTTTTCTAACAGCTAAGGAGAAAGCAGGGATCCTAAGGATGTTTCTATGAGGCTGAGGGTTTTACATGATGTGGGGGTGATGTAGGAGGCAGCACAACACCATGTTTAAGCTATTCTATGAGAGGACAACCCAGCTTTAGACACGGTGTTTGATAACCTTGACAGAACCAGGGCCAAAATGGTGAGATCCCACTCTCATCTGCACCTTGCAATTCTTGTTCTGTTCCAGTACAGCTCATCTACATTATCCCATGCACAAATCTCTTTTTTTAACTCCATGTACAGTGTCAGGTGACTATTTTGCCTGGACCTATATGCCTGAGACCAACACAGCTGATAAACTACATACTGTTCTTATTTCATAATACTCGCATCACAGCATCAGAAGAACTATCTGTTCAGTGTTTGTTCTCTTTTAATTTAATGAACTATAAAAAGGAGACTCTAAATACCCACCTAAGTATTCTCAGTGCTTCAGGAGACATTGCATACTCAGGGCAGATTTGATTAACTCCTTGCACCACTGTTTTCATGTGTCCATTGCCAGCAATGGATGCCACATGAGAAAAGGGAGGGAAGGAATAAAATAATTGCTCTCTGTGTGATACAAAAAAGTACTAACACTGCCTTCATAAGAGCAGAACCAAGAAACAATTCAACTCACAGGATCAGCAGTGCTTTTCCTTTCAGGAATGGCCACCACAGGGCAAGAAGCAGGTTCACATCTGAGCACCCCCTACCAGAGACAAGGGACCTACACATAAATAGCTCAGAGACAAGGGACCTACACATAAATAGCCCAACTATTTCCAAAACAAGAGTGGAATCCCACAACACATTTGCATTTCAAGCCAAATTGATCCCTTGTACAGCTCTGCTGACTATGGTGGAAGAACACAAAAAATTAATCTGGCCCTACAGGGCAACTACAGCAAACCTTCCCCATAACCCAGCTCGGGAGTGAGACATCTGACAGCTAGAAGCTCCATGTTTGTTGCTAACTTCGGAAGCCAAGACTTGCCTGAGTGAACTGTGAACTTTTGGCTGCCACTATAAAAACCTTCCCTGTACCACAATTGTCCTTGTACTCTATAGGTGTTCCCAATAGGTTAAATTTCAAACTGTCCCCAGTGCAGATAGTTCCACAGTGAAGCCACAGCACTCCCTCCTGCTCCACCTCTCTCCCGCTGTTCTTGAACCCTAACTCAAAAGTCTCATTCGGGCAGACCATGAAGAATTAAGTGCTCTTCAGAGAAGGGTTTTTTGCCTTTTTTTTTTTTAATAAATTTATCAGGCAGCATGGTATATCTCTTGCTGCCTCCAGTTATTGTCATGACAATATGGTTGTGGTTATTTAAAGCAGAATTTGGGAAGAAAAAGCAAATCCACTTGATACACTGAGAAGAACACTGGGCAGAACTGAGCCAAGGCCTGCCAGTGCTGAAGGAACATGAGAGTCAATGCCAGAGGAGCAAATCCCGGATACCATGTTAGCCACACAAAGGTTTTGACCTTCAAATACAATGGGCTGCAGCCAGCATAAGTCACCACCATTACCAGAAACAGAGGAATCCCTGGAAAGGAAGGCAGAAAATTCTTGTGGCCTGTATAGTCTCTACAAGGTTTGCATGGATGAGATGGGAGCTGGAATCTGAAGCAGACTGTCAGGCAAGGTCTGCTTTGGGAGTACAGAGGAGATGGGAAGACTTGCACTATTTCTTGCGCCTTTTGCCAAGATTCAGATTGCACAGATTATGGTAAAATTCACTTGGCAAAAAAGACCTTCATTAAAAAAAAGAAAGAAAAAGAAAAAAAAAAAGAAAAAATTTCTAGTAAGTATCAGGACTGAGATTTCAAAAAGTACAAGATCTGTATAAATTCACCAAGATGTCCAGCACCAGATTATTTCATGGTGCAAAAAAGAACCTGGGGAGAGGCCAATGGGACCTGGTGAGGGGAACACCATCTACCTCCCCAGCAGATTGCCAGTCTTAGGTTCTTCTCAACAGCAGATGGATTTTCCTTGTTCCTGCAGCATCTCAGGTCCCACAGGAGGTATTGGTTGCAAGCAAGCACCTGAATATTGCCTAATGGAGTAAGCCAATCACTAACTCAGCTGGCGTGTCCATGACCATCAAATAATTAGGTGTTTTTCTTTTGGATGAATTTCCGCTGTAGCATTTCTTTTTCTTCTTTCTCCACGTTAAAGTGTAAGCAAAAGGACTGCTTTCATCTGTAATAAGTTAAAATCAGAAATGACCTAACTAACAGGTAACTGATATTGGTCCTTGGAGCCCAAAGAGTAAAATCCATAGAAAATCTACTGGTTCCATTTCTTCTGGTATATCCCATGCACACCCCCATTAGAAAAATGGGGTTTATGAATCTTATCATACAGCAAGGAGCAGTACCTCGGAGCCAGAGCTGACAGTCTGTAGTAGTGGTCTGGGCTCTCCCAGATTGCTAAGTGTGATTCTAAGTCACTGCTCAATCTGTCTTCACGTGGCCGTTGGCCAAGGCAACGGGGACGGTGGGGGCCCCCGGCTCAGCAGTCTCGTCAAATCGTAAGCGCAGGGTGTTTCTGATCACCAGCTGTTCCATGATGAAAGAAGCACAAAACCATGGGATGGCATATTCCAGAGTGATCAGGCCCATGAAGTCAAAATCAAACTGGGAATAGTCCCACGGGCAGGCATTGAACTGTCGTAGGATGAGGCCAGTGGTGAACTCCCAGAGGTATGTCCAAAGTGTGTAAATGAAGCAGCGCACTAAAATGTTACACTTGTCTTTGAGATATAGATACATCTTCTCCACAATAAGGATGGAGGTGCCATAGATGAATAGTGCCCACACACTGGTAACGCCTGGGAACTTCCAGTTGAAGTTGACCACAAACTCCCAGGCAGCTGTGAACATCACCTCACAGAAATAGCCATGGATGGCATAGAGGTACCATCGGGAAAAAGCGGTCAGAGGTTCTGCCGCAGCCATTCTTCTGCACTCACCCCAGCAGCACTCTGAAATGAAGAGGGACAGAGAGAGAGAGAGACGAGTCAACAAGGGTGTCTGTCACAAGTCCTTATCCCCCAGATGGCAACACAGAAATTCGTAACAACCACAAAGGATAAATATGAGAAAGAAGTGAATTTTAAATTGTCTAATTTTTACCACAGCACATTTTAAGTCCTGAGGAAAGGTGGCACCGTATAAGACTCCATGACTCAGAATGGGCCTGAACAATGTAAACTGCTCTGCCTGAGAAACAGGATGACACTGATAAGGAGGGAGTTGACAGGTACAGCAGCTTTCCAAGAGTGAGGCTGCCACAGAATTTACTGGTTGCAAGTCAGTAGAAAAACACAGTCATCTCACAAGGAGCACATGCCACTTGTTTGCTCTTTTCAAGAAAGAGCACTGTCCCTTACTTTCCTGATTCTAATATGGAATAGATTAGAAGAACACAACATTGAAAACCTAGGCCTTTCCAACTGTCACCTACAGTCTCTATATCCAAAATGTCTGCTGTAGTGAAAAACGAAGCTTTGATGGGAGCTACAGCAAGGGAACTGGAGGAGAAAATTTCAGAGATTTTACACCTTCAGACACCACACCTTGCACCCATTATTCAGCTGAACTTTTATTTTGTCTGTTGAAGAACTCATGCACTGTATGGCTACCATTTGGAAAAAAATTTTCTTATGGTGTCAGACTGCCTGATACAAAGTCAAAAAGCACAGGAGACCCATCGAAATCCATTCAGATTTGGCTTCAGAACAGCAAAACACAAAGGAGGAGAAAAAGAAAGAACAGCTGAGCTTAGAGAGAGGTAGTCATGATAAATAGGAAATGAGAACAAACTTTAATTGTCTACACAGGAAGAAACTTGGTGAAGAGGTTTTGAAAAGGCACAGTTTGCTTATGACTGAACTGTTTCAGCACAATTAGTTTTTGTAGAGATTTACAAGTCTGCCACGGTACAGTCACTGACACAAGGTGATTATAAGTATTATTTTACTGAAGCCTTACATATTTACATTACAGGATGAATTTGACCTCTCATTCTTAGAAACGTTCACTTTCAAGTTGAGCTTCTCTTGACTCTTTATCAGGTACTATTTAACTTTGCTTGCACTTGTCAGTTCTGTGGCAAAACGTGCTAGGAAAGGACCATATTAACATTATGTGCAGTCATTCTATGCCATCTGGAAAAAGACTGTTCCCACCTTGCTCTCTAAATGCAGTGCCCCTCTGAACAAAGTATTAACATGCAGTATGATTGAAATTCTAATAGGAGATGAAATAAGAGAAACTTCTATAAGGGAAAAAGGAACTATAATAACAAACATAGAGAAGATATGCACAGGGGAACACTGAAAGTGGAAAGGACAGAGCTGTATCCATGACCTGTTCACTCCTCTCTTAAATGGACACACAACCAACCAAAGCCTTGGCAGTTCATATGATGTGGGTGCTTGAAAAAGACCCATTTTCTAATGGCACAATCCATTTTACACAGGACACTGATCCATCAGCAGATGCTACAGATATAGGTCAACAGCACAGTGTGAGTTTGTAGGTGAAAGACTAATGAATCGCCAAGGATTCCCTCATGTCTCCTAACAGTTCAGTTCCAAGAGACCTTGCAAGACAGCAGAGGAAGTAGCACATGAGAAATATACAGGAGGTGTATGTCCACACAGTCCACAAGAAGCTGATGTGTAAGGGCACTACCAACTGAAGAGAATGAGTTTGTCAGTGTAATGTTACTTGGTTAGTTTGGCCAGCACAGTTGTTAAGCTTAGGAGTTTGAGTCTTCATATCATTCCTCCATTCTCACATAATTTCAAGAACAAATCAAAAGTGAGAGGTACAGAGTTAAAGGAAAGCAGTAAGAAGGCATTCTGGTTTAACACCAGCCAGCAACTAAGTGCCACACAACCACTCACTCACTGCTCTCCAGTGAGATGGGGAAGAGAATCAGGGGAAAAACAGTGAAACTCATGGGTTGAGATAAGAACAGTTTAATAATTCAAAGTAAAATGTAATACTAATGTAATACATGTCATTCTCCAGAGAAGAAAATTATTGTAAAGATTTTACCAAGCTGCCAAGGGATTATATAGTTTTCCTCTCTTTTCTACAAGGCTTCCTAAATTTTTTGCTTGCAGTCCTTAGTCGTTGTACTTCACTCTACGGCTTTACATGAAATGTATTTGAACTGTTAGCTGGGAGCATTCACAGCATGCAGTGCTATCTCTTTAAGGTTTTCCTTGTAATTTTGAAAATCTCTTCAAAAAGTTGAATCAAATGCACAGAAGGTCCTTCCGTCTCAGTCCCTCCCTTCGTATTCCAAGGATCACCTCACCAATTATTTCCACTACCTTACACCTCCCTATAAAAGCCAAAGACTCATAGAAACATAGTCAACAATCCACATCTGGTTCTACCCCACATTATTTCCTCTGTTCAATGAAGATTTCTCTTTCCTAGGTCTATACCACATACTTAATAAAAATCTATTTATTCTCTGTTTCTTTTTTACTGTTTGCAAAATATCTAGTCACTACACTAGAAGTCTTTAGTAATTGAGTCTAGATCAGGTTTAGGACATCTACAGTAAAAATTAACCAATTGCAAAGACCACTGTTGACTTCTTTTGAATTCCATGGCGTTCACCACAACTACAAAGAGGCAAACAAAAATGCACTGGCATTGTGTCAGTATTTGCCTTCTGTCATGTGCCCAGTTGGCCCAATTTCGATGGTAACTTCCTTCTTACAATATGCTTGAAAGAGTCCTCAAAGGCATCCTGGTGATTAAGAGCATCCCAAGAAAGGGCAGATGCCAAACTGTGCCAGTCCAAACATAAACTGGTTCCACTGTGCTAAGCACTAAGCAAATCCACAGATCACAGTTCCTCCTGTAAAATATTTCATCCAAAATAAAACAAAAAGTACATAGTAAGACATAGATACACTTACGGGGGCTACCACAAGCCACAGGACATCACTGCATAAGCTGGGGACTATACAATTTAATGGTTACAAGTCACTTGAGTATTTACAAAACAATTAAAACTGAAGCTTTTCCAAAGCAACTTATTTCCCAGCCACACCAAACTGTTTGGTGTCTATACTACATAAGAAGGTCTCACGAGGGATGTAAAAGTGTAGTTTACTGGGCAGCAATTCAAGATGAAAGGATCAAGCTGAAAAGCAGTTGCATGATATTTAGTGGGAGAAGCATCCAAACAGAAGGCCAAGATTGGATTCAGTAAGAAATGCAGATTTCTGAAAAGCTTCAAGTAGATAACTGAACTTGGTGATGCAAGAGTTTTAATGGAGTGACAGTAATACTGACCAAAAGCCTCTGAATGTAGGATTGCTATTCAATCTCCTGAGGAAAACAAATGACATTTATCACTGAGGTACTTACAGTGGGATGGGCAACGGCTTCCTGAAAACCAGAAACACAGCTGCCACCTACACAACTGTCTCAGCAGAGAGCACACAAGTCATGAAGACTGCACATGGATGGCCATGCTTGCACTGAGGCTTCTCACACTGCTGTTTTGGGGAAAATAGAGAGATTCTAAATTCAAAGCTTTGAAAACGCTTTCCGTCATCAGCAAATTATATTTTAAATAGCTAAAGTAGAAACAGATCCTCTAATATGATGTTATCAGGAAGCCTGAGCTAAGCCAGCACAAAATTTTCTGCTCTTTCTCTAGGAGGACCTTCTTTTCTAGCTTGCTCAGAGAAGAAAAAAGGCAAGTCTGTGGTAACCACACATGGGCAGTCTCTGAGGAACACGCAGTCCTTCCCCCAGTTGCCCTGTCTGTGTGGATAACTCTGCTGGCAACAAAGGGGCCAAGAGTCCCCTCCACCTACAGAAAACAAGCACAGGTGTAACAGGGGGAAGTATATGAAGGACTGAGTTTATCTCAGAAATCTGGTTCAGAGGATGAAGTTGCAGAGTGTCTCCCCAACAGTTCGCTGATGACAAAAAGCTGGTGAGAGTGGGTGATCCCCCAGAGTGCTGTGCTGCCCTTCAAAAGGACCTTGACAGGCTCAAGAGATGGGCAGAGAACAACTGTCTGAAATTCAACAAAGGCAAATGCAGAGTCCTGCACCTGAAGAAGAATAACCCCATGCAAGGACAAGAAGCAACAGACAGAAACTGATGGCACAGGAAGTTCCACCTGAATATGAGGAAGAACATTACTGTTTGAGTGACTATGCACAGGAAGAGATTGCCCAGAGGAGTTGTGGAGTCTTCCTCACTGGAGATACTCAGCATGTCTGGATACCATCCTGTGCAATGTGCTCTAGGACCCTGCTTGAGCAGCAAGGTTGGACCAGATGACCCACTGTGGTCCCTTCCAATCTTACCCACTCTGTGAATCTGTGATCAGGGCAGGAGTTTGACTTAAAGCCATAAGAAAATAATACTGTAACAGCAGCAAGATTACACTTTTATATTTTAGAATTTCAACTCTGAAATGGATATTAATAATCCCCTAGGTTGAGGTAAGATACAGACAAGCTTGATGTACCAGACCAAGCAAGGAGAAAGAACTTACATTCCAGACTGCCCCACTTCACATGTGAGACCCTTCTGTGCAAGGAGAAGCACCTCCATACTCACATTTGGTTTTGGAGGTGATGCAGTCCAGGCAGGCAAGAGGGAAGTGACTGGAAAATGGATTGACTGTAGACCAAGAAATAACGGCAGATTTGTCTCACACAAGCACTGCAGGGGAGATATCGGTGGATGTCCTATTCATGCCTGATTAAGTTCTTGAGCACTGCCTGGCTCATTTTTTTTCAATGCTCTCCTTTGCAGTGGCTTTCTGCCTGCTTCCCTCCTACCAAGCCAAACTGCTTAAAAAAAAAAGTCTCTCACAGATCGTCTTTATTCCCTCTAATCCAGCAGAATTATTTAGACTCACAGCCTCTGGATGGGTGTAATGAGACCTCATCAAGAAACTCTGAATTAACTCTGAAGTGCTAATAAA